TACATACATACATATATACATATATATTTTTTTTGTTCAATATTCTTGTCAGAGAAATATTAAATACAAAGTTTGTAATTATAATTTAAACAGACAAAGAAAAAGAACATAATATAGAACATAATAAAGAACATAATATGTAATAATTTAAGGAACAAAATATTACAGTTCGCGAAAAAAAGTGTGTATTTTTGTGTTTTTACTTATGGGATTGAACCTTTTCCATGAAAAGGGGGATGAAGTGCAACAGGTAGAGATACTTGTTTTCCAACGGAATCTGGGTCACTTCTTCTCGCGAAACAATCGCGACACAGGTGTGAATACATATATTTCGTTCTTATTCGACTTATATCTTATATGTATAACTAGATATTCCTTAAACCAGATGTGAAAATGTTAAAGGTACGTTTCTAGACTAGAAATTAACTAGAAATTAACGAATGTAATACTCAATCCCCAAAACGCATGTTGAAATACTTGTTACGCATTTTCTGTAATGTCGATTCGTTTTCTGCTTTAAGAAAAGCTTAATATTTAAAAGTAAAGTGCATACGAAATTTCGATAAAAAAGATAACAATCTATTCGATGGGAATAATATTGAATTTTTACGATATATTATATTTAATAATTCATAGAAAAAAATAAAGGTTTATTCGTTTTGATTAATCAGAATTTGATTAATGATTAAGCAATAAAAATATTAAATTTAAAAAATTTAGATCTTAATTCTTAATAATAACATAATATCCGCGTATATAAAACGATAATTTTATTCTTGATACGTTCTTTCTTGTACTCCCCTTTATTTACCTCCCACTCACGCAGGTGTATAACGTATATAAGTACAATATAGCACGCTTTATCTTGAGAAATGTTTGTTTCTTTGCTCGTCTACAACCATTGTGTGGCTTTGTGTGCACAAAAAAGTTGAACTGACATCTCTAGAGGTATATAATCCAATGTCAAGCCTACGAATCGGCAGAAAGTGTCCGCGGATTATTCGTTGAAAATCGTTATATTTATGAATGACGTCGATGACGAACCATAAAAGTTAATTAATATTTTTTTTCCAAATTCTCAAATGTTAAGAAATAATCTTTAAGCATTGTTTAATTTGATCGAAAAAATTTATTAAAATTTAAATATATAGAAGAATCAAGTAAAAAGTATTAAGAAATGATCATTTTGAATGCTTTATCTTACCAATCTTATCATTTAATAGAATCTGTATCTGTATGATTGTAAAGTTATTCGTTTAAAATATTTAAAAAACTAAAAATCATTGATAACTAGTAACTAATTATCAAATAATTAATCATATCATTGATTTTAAAGATATATTTTCTAATTTTAAATAATAAATAATAAATAATATTTATGAGCAATAAAAAAGAAAAAGGTTTGTTAAATAATCAAGACACATTTATGAAAAAACGAATATAATATATTTTAGAAATTTAATTTTACAATAGGCAATTTTTCACGAGAACAATACCACAGATAAAAATAAAAGTCTCATCGACGTTTTATCAAAATATCTACGTGATATACGCACGTGATCATTTTATTTTTTTCAATAAACTATTATATATGTACAATGGAATGTTATCGATTTTAATAAATGACATGCAATAATTACCAAAATTTTAATTTTATACAGTGATTGGTATAAGTATACTTAATTATAAAATTATAAATATTTATGATTTTTCTTTTTTACAAAACACAAGAATAGTGATATTAATTAAACTTTAAAAAATGTACTAAACAATAATGTTACTAAAACATTATCTTAGATATACATAAATTTATTTGTACTTGAGTTTAAATTAATATACTTTTCTCTTTGACATTTTATCATTTATGAAACTTCTATCAATTTTCTTCCTATTTTAAATTATTCTTTAAATAGCATTAAAATACTATTGTCATAGTATATTAAAACTAAATCAATTAATAAGGCCGTTAATTATGAAAAAAAAATCGCATTGAAATATCACATTTTTAATATTTTTTTTTTCTATGATATTATTTTATGGCAGGACAATTATTATATTTCACATAATTAAAAATACAATTAAGATATTTCAATTTTGCAACTTTCTGTGGAATTTTCTCTTTGATTCATGAAAATCTTTTCAAATTGAATTACCTAAATTCTTATTATTTTCGATACACGTTAAAATCGGCTCATAAAACAAGATTTGTGCTACACATGTAGCCATCATAAGTTTATTTAGCACACAATCACTTATAAAATAGTATCTGTAAATTATTGTAAGTTCAGTCTTTGTAAAAAATCTCCTCAAAAGCTACTTTTTTGTTTCATCCGTCTGTTTTTTGTTTTTGGATACATTAACATATTTTTGCTTTACTCAAATGAAAAAAACAACAAAGTTTTCAGTTATTTTCCGTATCTTTGTTCACTTTTATTATATTTTTCCAACAGACATATAAAATCCTTTGCAGATAAACTAATGTGTAAAGGTAACATGCTGAAATAAAAAAATAAAACATTATTAAATATTAAATATAAAAATATTGAAATTTTCACAATAACTATAAAATATTCATGAAATAAACTTACTAAAATTCTGTTATTCGTGTTTGCCACGGTAAAACACCATATGTGGAACAAACACGGCCATAAATTATTCCTAAATCAGGATCCGGCATTTTTCGTGAATTTAATTTCTCATCGAGTAATTCGATATTTATTTCTTCCGGTTTAATTGTTCCTGTGATTACAGCTTCAGCTAATGTTTTTGTCAAGGATACTATTTCTTTTTTTCCATCTAGAGAGGACAATAAAAATATCCGCATTTTCGATTTAGAATCTATAAATTAAAAAAAAAAATCATTTAGAAAATTTGTAATATATTTGTGAATTATGAAAAGTTTATTCATGTAAAAAATGCACCAGTAATTCCATTTTGAGAGAATCCTGCATTTGATTTACTCCAATTGATATACTCCATTAAATCAGGTTGTCTTTTTGCAAGTTCGTATTTTAATAAATTTTCATTTCGGACTAGAAAACCTGTAACAACAAAATAGATATAATTTATATTTAGATATATAATAATTATAAACACAATATTGCTTAATATAATTATATAAATTATTTTTTTATATCATATCAAAAATTATATAATTAAATAAAAAAATTTATATTTTTCGATTTAATATTTTATAAAGATTAATGAATTTTTACTGTTATATTCTTTCCTTTATTAATTTAACAATAAATCAATAATAACACATATTTCTTAAATACATATTACATGTTTAAAATAAATTATATCAGCATATAATATTACACGTACATTAAATACGTCCTTGAGTCTAAATGACAAAATATTTTTGAACAAATTAATATTGTGTTGTTAATTTTAAACATATGCAAAATTAACTTAATTAATGTATTTTACAAAAATTCACTTTTATGAAATGAAAAATATTTATTTTTACGAAATATTTATAATTTATGAAAAAATATTATTATAATTTAATATTTTTTTTATAATTTATATTTAAATTTTTAGAATTTTGAAAAATTAATACATTATATTTTATTATTTAATTTTCAACAAAATATTTTTATATTTCTTAATATATTTTTTTTATGGATATAGTATGTTTCATAATAATATAAGTTTAATTAATAATAAAACAATCAATAGTTTATGCTTTATGATATATATATATTTATAAAAAATAATATTTTTATAATATATTGTTTGTGAAAATAAATATATTATTAAAATAAATACTTTATAACAAAGTTATAACAAAATTTTATAAAAATGTTACATCATTATTATCATAAAATAAGATACAAATTTTATAATAATTATTTTTCTTAAATATTAAATTTTAAATTGTAATAAATTATGTTGAAAAAATTAAAAATATTTACAAATAAAAAAATTAATGTTAGGAAAACTAAAGAATAAAATTGTTTCGATTTTGAGGTTAGAATAATATACGAGATAAATATGTACAAAAATATTATTAATATTAAAATATGTCAACTATTTATATAATCATTATAGAATTATAAATCTAATTAAATTGAAATATGTTAATTTATTAAAACTTAAAATATTAGATAAGTTTAAAATAAGATATAAATCATGAAGTATACTAAACTTATTGAAACATTCTTTTTATATCTTTTGTCGATAAATAATGATATACTAACTACTTTCTACTTTGTTTACATTTACATTCTTCTAAAATCAATATGAAAATGATAGATCTTAAAAGATTGATATAATATTTCTTTCTTAGCATTATATCTACTTATCATAAATGAATTTAAAATTCATTTCGATTATATTCGTTCAATAAATTTATATTAAAACAAAATAGCAACAAAAATTAAATATAGAAAATAAAATACAATCATAGAAAACTAATAAACAAAAATGAACGTTACCACTGATGTCAAAGAAACTGATGTAAGATATACCAAGGGTATAACACCATCTAATAATTCGTATACAATCGAAAATAGTGTTCTCCTTCGCGCCGAAAACGATCACTATATGTCTTGGTAGCTTTTTCATCTTGTTCGCGGCACGCGTCAGTATTTCGATCTCTGTCCTTAAGTTTTCACCGTACCATATTTCGATAAACTTACGATGAAGGATCATACAGCAATTATAAAACGCGGCAAATAAGTCACATGAAAAGTGGATTAGTATTAGTAACATGCGAAATACCGTGAACATTATATCGTCCAGTGACCGTCCGGTCTATAGAACATAATCACGCGGAACTAGTTGATAAAAGGTTTTCAAAACTACCCGGGGAACGTCACGAGGAGGTTCATATACTTAATTACTGATCCGTCTAGCAGACGGTCACCTCACGTGCACCTGCTTATGCCGGATGACATACGCACTCTTCTGTCGACAAGAAACACTAAACACAGTATGTCGGCCGCTAAATTATAAGCCCATTTCACGTGGTCTAGTTACTTTATATGTTATCATTTCCTATTATTGTATAATAGTTGTAATCATATATATATAATATATATATATAATATGAATAGATAATAATATAATTTTAGATAATTGAAAATAATGTATTTTTTATCTAAATAACAGTAAAAGTAAAAATTGATATATGATTAACTTTTTATGCTAGTAACAATATATAAAAAATGAGGTTATTTAACAATAAGTTTTCGATATTAATGGTGATTGTTTAGATAAATAATACATAGTCAGAAGAATTGATGAAAATAAAATATATTTGATATTAATTATTTATTAATTTTTAAATTAATGCAATATACATTGAAATAAAATTATAAAAGATAGAAAAATTATATGATAAAAATAAACTAATAGTATTTTTAATAAGCTGTAATTATAAAAAAAACTAATGACAAAACTTTAATTTGTTATTTTCTTTAAGATATGTGTACAGCAATTGTTTTTAATTTTTAGGTTATGTTTAACTTCAATCACTAGTACTGACTTTCATTTTTTTAAATATGATGTACATTATCATAAAAATTATTTTATTTTAAAAAATGTTTAAAATATATTCATATAAATTGAAAATATTAAACTAAACTCACAAATTTGAATTTTATATAAAATTTATTTTAAATTATATTAATTTTATAAAAAAAAATAATGTTGGTATTTGTGTATTTTATAGCATCATTGCAATTTGAAATTTTCAAAATATTGGCTTGTGAATTATATAATAATTTATTTTTTGCATTCGTACTCGTAACTATTTTAGTACGAAAAATTTTCTTCGATTTTTTTCAAAATCATTGGAATCTAACTACTAGTTTTTTTTATTATTTTTCACATTATTTATATATCAAAACGAAAATAATAAAAGAGATTTCATTTAAATTTTTACATTACTGTAAACTTTACGTTAAGATAGAACTTTCGTTAAGATAGCAGCGATGTTGCCATATATTCAATATAGTTATGATTACACGACATCATTTTATGTTAATGTATTGAATAACAGCGAGTTTAAATATCTAGGGATATTATATAGGAATATTTTCATTTCGTTAATTTCAACTTTCATAGGTTAAGCACGTGGTTTTAGTTTACGTTTACACAATCTTATAATACTTATCTTTAAATTAAAAAGAAATTCAATGTCATTTTTTTAGTAATTGCAATATAAAAGAATGTCATTCCGAGGTCGTGGAGGTGGATTTGGAAGAGGTGGAGGATTTCGTAGTGGAAGAGGCGGAGGAGGATTTCGAGGAGGACGCAATAATGATAGAAATGGAAGAGGGTAATTATTAATTTTCATTAAACAAACTATTAAATGTAATATGTAACTACAATTTTAATTTATATATTATAGTTTTGATCAAGGACCACCAGAACATGTAACTCCATTAGGTCATTTCACATGGACAGTTCAAGACGATTTAGTAGCTAAAGTAGATATAGAACAAGTACCTTTTTTTAATGCTCCAATTTATACAGAAAACAAACAACAAATTGGAAAAATAGATGAAATATTTGGCAATATCAGAGATTATTATGTATCTATAAAACTATCAGAAAATATAAAAGCATCCAGTTTTCAAAAAGACACACAGGTATGATTTATAATAATTTTTTGCATATAAATTGAAATTATTTATTTTATTGATTATTATTACTATGTTTCATTGTAGCTGTTTATAGATCCAGCAAAGTTATTACCTTTACAAAGATTTTTACCTAAACCTCCTGGATCAGTTCAAAAGAGAGGAGGTGGAGGTGGCCGAGGAATGAAAAAAGGTAGTGGAGGACATAGTGGTGGCCGAGGAGGAAGTAGACCATCTTTTGGGCGTGGTGGTTTTGGAAAAGGAGGTGGTGGCGGTTTTAAAGGACGTGGAGGAGGAGGAGGATTTGGTAGGAACCGTGGAAAAGGAAAATGGTAGAAAATTGAAAACTACAATAGATTTTTATGCAAAGACACATTTAGTGATAAGAATTTCTTAATTTTATTAAAAAGACTAAAATGTAAATAACATTTAAGATACAAATAAAAAAACAATGAATACAATGTACGATTTATTTACACCAAAACTTTGTTAAATATTATTTATCATTTCTATTTTCATATGTAATAATAATAAATCATACATGTTATATACATTATTGAATATATTTAACAGAAAAAAATATTTTCTAAACTTATACTTCACCACTTATACTTCATCAAATTTGATATGCTTCCCAAGTTCTTTTTCTGCTTTCTTTAATAATTTATTTCTTCCTCTTTGTTTAACTTTAACTTTTTTATTCAATTTTTCTTCTCTGTCATGCAAGATTTTATCCCAATACATTTTTTCTTCATCACCTACAAAATAATAAAAAAAAAAATTTTCTATTAAATTATGTTTCTGTTAAAAAAAAATATCTTACCTTCTAATATTGTTATATGTTTCTCTTCACCAAATTTTTGTGTAAATATCTGTGCAGCTTCAGCTGTTTCACATCTTACGTAAATAAGACAAGAACCATCTTCAACATCTATATATTTTATAGAATTATTATTTTTTAATTCCATCTGTAAAAAAATATAAAATATATAAAAAAATTATATATTTATATTTTATTTTTTATGCTCATATTATATTTTTATAATGTATATACCTTTAAACTTTTTGAATCTGTACATGGTTTATCCATTTCAATTTTGACTATAACTCCAGGTATGAACGAGAAACGACATGCAGTTATATTTGGTTTATTCCCTTTGTCTTTTTCATCATTTTCTTCTCTTTCAGGTTTATTTTTTTCATAATTTGACCATTGATATCTTGTTTTTCTTAAATGTTGTTTAAGCTGCTTCATTTTACTTCTCTGTAATTCTAAATATTTATTCCTAAGATATTTCCAATTTTTTTTAGCCATCACTTGTAATCCTATGCTATAACTAAAATCTTCTATTTTATTTCGCTTTTTTCGTTTTTTTCTTTTTTTCTTCTTTTCATTTTCATTTTCTTCAATATTTGCATTAGTACTCTCATCAATTATCATTTGTTCATTTTCATCACAATTATCTAATATTTGTTTTTCAATTGTAGATACATTCTTAAATTTATTTAATTTTCTTGGTAATTCTTCTAAAGAAACATCACTTTGTTTTTCACTATTTGATATGTCTTCTAAGAAAGCATCATTTTGTTTTCCATCATTTAATGTATCTTCTAAAAAAGCATTATTTTGTTTTTGATCATTTAATTCTATTTCTTTGTTGTATACATCATTAGAATATTTAGGCTTTTTTTTTTTATTTTTTATTAATTCATTATTTATTTGTTTTTCTTTTTCAATTGATTGTTCAGTATTCATATGTTTTCTTTTTTTTGCTTTTTTTTTATTGTTATTTTCATGATTTTCTAAAACATCATTAGTGTTCATATTTTCCTGTTTTTTAATATTTTTATCCATTTCAACGTCTTGTAATTTTTCATTATCAATAGCATTTTCAATGCACTCATTTTTTTCATATAACTTTGTTTGATTTGATTTTACTTTTTTTTCTGTATCATCAAATGTAGTAATACTTAAAAGTTCATCAGGAGCTGTGTGAGATGGTAAGAGACAGCCTTTTTTTTCAAATGCCTAAAATATTATTAATTTTGTAATATAAAATTTATTATTCTATAATAAATTTATATTTCTCTTACCTTTAAACATTTTTTAGCACTTTGAGGTATATCAAATTCTACAAATGCAAAACCTTTTATCTTTTTATTATTTTTAAATCGTGGAATAGAAATATATACAACTTGACCATATTGAGAAAATATTGAACTTAAAGTTTCATGATCTGAATCTGGAGGTAAATTTTGTACGTAAACTGTACATTCATCTATATTTTCTCTTGATATTATTGGTGTTATACGTCGAATTTTTGTTCCATCTTCAGATAAAGATAACATTTTAGATGTTTCTACAGCTTTAGCTATTCTGTTTGAATCAGTAGTTAATTCTTTTATTCTATTAAAGCTTAGAAAAACATTCAAATCAATATCTGAAATATTTTAAAATAGATTTTAAAATAAATTTTTAAAATCTTATATAATATTTCTTATAATAATTTTACAAATCTTACATGAATCCTCCTTAAGTAAGTTACTTAAAAATCTATCTTTACTTAGATTTGCATCACTAAAATAAAATTCCATTTGTTTGAGTATTGCAGCATGCAATGCCTTTTTTCTAAGTCTAGGTTTTCCTCTGGAAATGTTTGTAATCTTGTTAACTGTTTTTAAACGCGAATCTTCTATTGATTTTTGCACTTGTGGTACAGGAATTCTTTCTGAATCTAGTTCTATATCAGATTGTTGTTCTTCCATCACCATTGTTATTAATAAATTTATAAAAGTAATTTTGAACAACTACGTATAATTTTTTTCTGTCACCAAGTATCTACAAATTCATTTTTAACATATAAATTTCAACTTTCATTAAACAATTTTTTTAATATATTTTTTAAAATTAAAATAATACAATTTTTTAATATACTACAAGAAACGTTTTACATAAAAGAATAAAATTTCTTACACACAATCCGAATTGTAAACGTTTCCCGGTCGAGAAACCTCGTAAACATAGAACCATATAAATTGTAGTTAGATTATCCAACGAAATAGTGTTTATATTAAATTATTTTTAATAGTATTTTAGAATTATAAATTTATAGGGAATTTATTTTGGTATTTTAAGAATCATAAATTTTCATGTTTTAATACTATAATTATTCACATAAAAGATATTCACATATATATGTATATATATATATTTGTAAAAAATAAATTGATATATTCGAATATATAGATTTTTTAATAAAAGTTTAAATATTTATATTAATATAATTTTATACATTTCAAAAAAATATTTTTATTGAGTTTGTTTCTTTAGTTGATTAACTAGTTAATGGTAGCCACCTTTGATGTGTATGATCATTGAACTGAACTGCTCAAGAAACTCAAGTCATTCACTAATTCGTATGTTTAGTTGCAATTAATTGTTAAGATTATATTAAATAATGGATGATATGGGTATTATTCTACCAGATAAGGTATCTAATATATGCATTTTTATTCATATTTTCTGTTTTAAAATTAAGGAAAAGAATGATTGAAAATTATATTTAAATTTAAAATTATATAACCTCAATTTTTATTCAGTTTAATTTGTTTGTTTAATTATTTATTAATAAATTTTTTAAATTCTTTTTAATTAAGGATGTTGGAGAAATGGAATGCAAACCTGTAATTGGACATTATACAGGTGCTGGTGATGAATTGGATGTTGAAGATCTTTATACCAAGTATAAGGTAAAAAAATTTGATGTTGGTAAAAAAATTGGTAAAAAAATTAATAAAAAAATATTTTTTTTATATATTTATTAATTTACATAAATATATTTAATTGATATATAATAAGAATTTTGTATTTTATAGAAATTACAAAGAATGTTAGAATTTCTTGAAGTTCAAGAAGAATATATCAAAGATGAGCAACGTAATCTGAAAAAAGAATATTTACATGCTCAAGAGGAAGTAAAACGCATACAAAGTGTACCTTTAGTTATTGGACAATTCTTAGAAGCTGTAGACCAAAATACTGGTATTGTAGGTTCTACTACAGGCTCAAATTATTATGTACGGATTTTATCTACAATTGATAGAGAATTGTTAAAACCATCTGCTAGTGTAGCTCTACATAAACATAGTAATGCTTTAGTAGATGTTTTACCACCAGAAGCTGATTCAAGTATTTCAATGTTGCAAGCAGGTATTTAATTATTATTATTTAAATCATAATAAATTATTATTATTGATGCAACAAAAGATTATTTTTAATACATATTTTTATATATTTTTAAGATGAAAAACCTGATATTCAATATAGCGATATTGGTGGTATGGATATGCAAAAACAAGAGATTAGAGAAGCAGTAGAACTACCTTTAACTCATTTTGAGTTGTATAAGCAAATTGGAATTGATCCACCAAGGGGCGTATTAATGTATGGTCCTCCTGGATGTGGTAAAACCATGCTTGCAAAAGCTGTAGCTAGACATACTACTGGTATATATAATATTTTTAATATCATATATTTTAAGAATATCTGATTAAACGGTATACTTAACTTCTTATAACTTAGTACAATTAATATTTTTTTAGCTGCATTTATTCGTGTAGTAGGATCAGAATTTGTACAGAAATATTTAGGTGAAGGGCCAAGAATGGTGAGAGATGTCTTCCGTTTAGCTAAAGAAAATTCACCAGCTATAATTTTTGTTGATGAAATTGATGCTATAGCTACAAAAAGATTTGACGCTCAGACTGGTGCTGATCGTGAAGTGCAACGTATTCTTTTGGAATTGCTAAATCAAATGGATGGTTTTGATCAAACTACTAATGTTAAAGTTATAATGGCAACGAATAGGTAAAATTTTTATTTTTATTTCTACTTTTGAATATATAAAAACTAATTTAAATAAAATAATTTATATATATTTTTAGAGCTGATACATTAGATCCTGCATTATTACGTCCTGGCAGATTAGATAGAAAAATTGAATTTCCTTTGCCTGATCGCCGTCAAAAACGTTTAATTTTTTCAACAATTACTGCAAAAATGAATTTGAGTGAAGAGGTAGATCTTGAAGATTATGTTGCGCGACCAGATAGAATTTCTGGTGCTGATATTAATGCAATTTGCCAAGAAGCAGGAATGCATGCGGTTCGTGAGAATCGATACATAGTCTTAGCAAAAGATTTTGAAAAGGGTTATAAGAATAATATTAAAAAGGATGAATCTGAACATGAATTCTACAAGTAATCAGCAAGAAACTGTGTTATTATGTGTCACATTTTATGACCATATATGTATTTGCAAATTTATGTATTGCTATAAATCTAATAATCAATATATGTTTATAAAAATTTGTCTTATCAATTTATATATTCTTATATTATATATATATTGTATTACTATATATTTGATTTTTAAAAATTATCTACAAATGAATATTTGAAAATTTATGGATAATAATGATATAAAATTTTATCGTGTGTAATTGATCTATTTAAAATTATAAACCATTTTTAAGTAAGATATTAATTTTAAATTAAATAACTAGTTTTTCATATTTTAGAATTTATTGAAACAATATTACACTAGAATTTATCGAAATATTGCATGAGATAGAATTAATAGAATTATTCTAGTTCTTTTAATGATCAAATAATGACAAACATAGTTCTGGTAGTGTATCACGAAATGTTATGAATTGCAATTTTATCGATGTTTAATATAATTCAATTGATTTATTTTCAAATATAGTGACAAATATCGCTATATATCACATAAAAGTAATTTATTTTATCTATTCACTATCATATTTTTATGTCAATTGATATTAAGATCGTAATCATAACCTAAATATCAAATAATAAATAATATATTTTAAATTTTAAAATATCTTCTTATAATTTTAATAATATTATAAAATATTATTATAATGAATCTACCACGAATATTAATAATAAGCACAGAAAAAGGAAAAGCTAATGAAATTGCTATAAGTAAGTTGAAATTTCGATATCTCTCGCATTTTAATATTAATTTGACAAGTTTAATAAAGTAACTTTTTTAAAATAAAAGTATGCATGAGAATTATTTTGTAGTGATTTCTTATTTTTATGTGTTATATATTTTATAGATATAGGAGGAGAAAAATTATCTAACCAAGATCACTTTGATTATTATTTATGGAATATTCAAAATAAATATTACAAAGCACAGGTATTGATATGTGTTATAGAAAATTCTTCTCAAGATATTTCAATCAATGATGTGGAAGCATTGATTGTACATCATAATCCACAGACAGTAAGATATTTAAATTTTAAATAGAATCTTTAACAGAGCAAATGATTTTTAGTTTTGATTTCTTTAGGAAAATGCAGATCAGAATTTAAAAGAATGGTCATCTTTGATTGCTTCTTTAGCAGAAGTAGAAGTATTACTATTTTCTTGTAATTTTATAATAGATACTGTTATTAGAAACAAAGGTATATAAAAATAATAATCGATATATAAATGTTATAAAGTAATGAAATATTAAATATGTGTTTATAATATTTTAGTGATAAAATGGTGTCTACAAAATAGATTTGAATTAATTGAATTAAATAGACCTGATATAGATGCTTCAGAAGCTGATTCAGAAAATAACAAATATGGTATTGAGAGAATTATTGAAGCTTTACATGCTCATATGTGGCCAAATATGACACTTAAAGGTTTTCAACAAAAATTTGGATCATAAATGTTTAAACTAAATTAGCTACATTAAAAAGCTGTTATTTTATAAATATAAATACTTATTTATTAATTGTAAATATTTACAATTTATATTAATTTTATAGGAAAACCATCAGATATGGAAGAGCGAAATCCTGATATGAATAAAGTTGAAGAACAATTTGGGAAAATTGAATTAAATCAAGATTCTACAGAAACATTGCCAATAGAAAATATGTTAGGTAAGTTGAACAAAAATTTATCATAAATTTTTATTTTAGTGTATTTACATTATATATTATTTGTTTCAGATGGAATTATGGGTGAAGAAAATACAGATTTTGGAGAATTGTTTAGTCAATTAAGGGCTATGAAAGAACATGCAGCATTATTACCAACTAATCAAAGACGTATAGCAGCTGAACAATTAGTCACTGCTTTCTGGAAAGCAATGGGTGGTGATCCATCAGAAATGGAAGATTAATCTACATATTTATTTTATAATGCATACAAATTCATATTAGAAACATTTTATCTTAGTATTTTTATTTGGATTTGATATGTTAATTTTCAAGAACAAAACAGCAAAAATATTGTTAGATAATTATAAAATTTTAAAAATTACTTAAATGAAAAATGAACATAAAATTATAGTAAAATAAAATTTAACGTAAATTTATAATTAAGTAAAAATTAACGTAAAGTTATGATAAGAGTAAAATTAAAGTAAAAAAAATTAATATAATATTGCATGTGTATAAAATATAAGTTAATTATAATGTATGTTTTGTAGTAAAACTTATCAAATTTATTATTTCAAATGATGTCTTTTATGAATATATTCATAAAAGCTTTTGTATAATTTCATGATAGATATAATTAAGTAGAATATAAAAATATATTTGTATGTGCGTGTGTGTTAAATATTAATGTAAAGTTTTTATTTGTAAGTGCAAATTCATACAAAAATTTGATATTATAGAATTAATCATAAATTCAATCAGAATTGAAATATTTTTAAAATACTTTTTTCGATTCCGAATTAATAATTATCAAACCGAAATGAAATATACATGTTTAGTAGTGTTCTTCGTTTATTTCTCAAATATTGGCATCCTTGTTCTTGCTGAATTAATGAACGAACATTTATAGTTGCCGGCCTGCCGTTTGACTAAAATGTCGGACGCTTTTCTTATAGTAGCTCTGTTTGACTTAGATGAACACAGGAACAGAATAGTGGAATTAAAAATATTTGTGGAACCGAAAAATCCGGTGTGCGAAGTTGATAATATTCTGTCATTTTTATCGTGGGCAACATGTATCCGTCTGTTACTTAGCATTCAGTATGAAGTAAGTTTTTATAACTAACAATATTATATCTAATGATATTTGGTTTTTATTTAACATTTTTTGGAATTTTTATATTTTTCATTAAATAATAATAAATTTTTTAAATTTTATTGAAAATAGCTGCATTCATCATAACCTGTAAATTATCTATATTAAAAAATCAGATATTTGAATCTCTGTTTCTTAGCTTAAATTTTCTTCGATAAAAACATTCTACTAAATTAAATTTATCGATGTTTTAATGTTTTACCTATCTATCTCAAATAAGTTAATAACTGATTTTTTGTTCTTATTTTTAGAATTATCAATTAAAATTATTATCGATAATAATAAACATTGTGCAATTGTGCTTGTGCTACTTCTTAATAAAGTTTTCAGCTATGTACATATGTATAAATGTTTATATTTAAGTATTTTTATTATATTTTATACAAGTGATATTAGATAAAAGTATTCTTTAATTGAAAAATAGAAAAAATATTAATCATATTTTTTTTTCAATATATAATTCCCTTGTGTATGTGAGAATTATAATTCTTTTTACAAAAGAATTGATAATTCTTTTAGATGTAAATTATTCATGTTTTATTTTATAGAATCTGATATATATGCATATTAAGCATGAAAAGTAAAACTTTTGTTGATGCTCGTAGTACTATTTTAAAGAATAATCATATGCATGATAAACTAAGGCATTGTCAATGACAAAGACAGATTTAATTGATTTTTCTCAAGGTAAATTTTCATACCTATTTATTTATTTTTATCATAAATTAATTTTATTATATTTTCTTATTTTGATATGATTTTATATATAGAAGAAACAGAAAAAAAAAGTATTAACATAATGTCGCAATCAGAGGATGCTTATGCTCCAGAAGAACCAACACCAGACATTCCAATATCTTTGCTTGATATACAAATGCCAGAAACACCAGAAAGTACAAAAGGCCAAGTCAGTGATGGAGATACACCTAGATTGGAAAGTCCTAAGATGCTCAAGCCAGTATTAGGAAAACTACAGGCTAAAAAGAGATTAATGGCATTTGCCAACAAATTTAATGTGCCACCAAAAATTCAAAATAAATCCACTTTGCTTCAAGCACATACTACTAAAGTTTCTAAATCTAAAAATATGTTGGGTAATAATGGAAAATCTTTGCAAAATGATTCAAACACACTGTTAAATATTGACTCGGATTCTATGCAGTTTCATAATCGTCATTCAAGTGGTAATAAATCAAAAAAAAAAACAGGTAATATGGAATGTGAATTTAATTTGCAGGTTTTTTTATATTAATTTATTTTATTAATGTATAAAATTTCCACTGTACTGTAGAGGAAAAGATTCTGGCTATTGAAGAAATTAGACGAGAAGAATCCAAAAGTAAAATGTTATTGGCTGAAGCTATGGCTGCAGGTATTTAATATGACATATTTTAAGTTAAAATTGATTTTTAGCAATAGCTAAATTATTTTACAGCTAGTTTAGAAGAAGAAAATTATGCAAATAGAAATGGACAAAATTTATTAGAAAATGTAAAGATAATAAGAGAAAAAAGTAAACAAGATGTTAATGTTTCTCATAAAAGTAGTTTAAAATCTGCAATAGAAAATAAATATTCAGAAAGGTATAATAAAATTTATCGTTTTTATATGTATGACAAATTCTTACATTTTTATATGTATAAATAATATACAAAAACTATTTTAAGAAGACGATATGGAAGAGAAGAACGAAGAGATAGTGCGAGTAGAGAATCCAAAGATTACAATAATAAAGAACGATATTATAAAATTTCTTATGATAAAGAACAACGTAAAAAAGATAAAGATAAAAAAGATGATAAAGATAAACGGGAGGATAATAAATATGAAGAAAATAAAGATAAAAAATTTGAAGACAAAGATAAAAAGGATAATGACAAAGATAAATGGGAAGATATACGAGAAAAGAAAGGAATAAAAGAAAAGAGAGAAAATATTAAAGAAAAGAGAAGTGATTCACAGGAAAGACCTGAAATCAAGGATAGAAAAGAAAAGGAAAAAGACAAAGATAAAGGAAAAGAAAAAGATAAAGATAAAGATATAATGAATTCTTCTTCATGGATAGAGTTAAAAAAATGTGGTATAACAATGGATGATATTATTGAGATTAGAAGACATGATCATTCTGAACGATCAACAAAGAACAGGTTTGTATTTTAAAAATACGTATTTATTTATATTATTTATATTTTTTCTTGCATATTAAATAAATATTTGAAAAATATATATATTATAGAACAGCCGAAGATTATGTGCGTCACTTTGAACAAATGTTAATGATAAACGATTGTCGTTTAAAACGTTATGCTTTTATCGTTGAAGGACTTGATGGTCCTAAAGAATATCCTCCTGAATCAATAAGAATAACTAAACGCGGAAGGCCTCAATTATTTTATTCTGAAAATCCTCGCATATCTCTTTTTATTAATCATCAACAAATTCTTCAAGCAGTAACCATCGATCATCGTGAAAAAATGCGTAACATATGCGAGGCAGATTTTATACGGTATATCAAATTATTTTGTTTGACCAATTTTCTTTTATCTATTCAGATTTTAACAATTCTAGAGAGGATGCAGAAGAATCTGAAATATCTCAACGTATACGTAATTGGTATCCAAAAGCAGGCATATGCAAATTTGATGAAAAGACCAAATGGCATGTACCTATTAATGTACAATTACCTAAATCGAAATGGGATAGCGAAGACGAAGATAGATTATCTAATGATACGGAAAAAGAACAAGAAAATGAGACGAAATCAGGCAATACTGTTTCAGAACGTGGTAAACATTTTGTATATTTTATTTATAAAATAAAGAATATATTTAACATATAAAATTTATTTTAGAATCAGAGGAATTTTCTCCACAGTTAAGTACGATAGAAGAAGACGTCAATAAAGATAAAAATGTTAATGAAGTTGAGATTTCTAATGCTAAAAAAGTAGATGATAATAGACAATCAACATCCCCTTTGTTACAGTCTGCGGGTAATGAAAAATTAGCATCGGAATATGAACAATTTATGAAAATGGTTTGCAGTGATATTCCTATATCAAAGGAATTCTCTCCTAAACCGAATAAACCTACTTCAACATTAAGTTACCACGAGTTCAATATAGAAACTAATTTACCAGATGACAATTTCTCATTTGTAGAGCATAGTATGTCTGAAAAATCGGATAAAAGTGATTCAAATAAAATTGAAGAAAAATATAAATCTAATGAAAATCGACAAAATTTAGAGAAAATTACGGAAACTGAGGATGATAAAATGTCACTAAACAGTACTCACATTCAGGTTCAAAAACGAGTAAGGATGGAGAATAAAAATATGCATGATAAAAGTGAATCAGAAGATTCTAAATCCATACCCAGCGATTGGGAAAACGTTCGAATCAAAGTAGAACGTATGAGCGATGAAAATTCTGACTCTAAAGAGACAAGAAAAAAAAAGAAACGAAAAAAGGTGACTTCCAGCAGTAGTGAATCTTCTAGTTCATCAAGTTCCTCTGACTCTGAAGAAGAAGTAAAAAGAAGAAAGAGAAAACGTAAAATATCAAATGATTCAGATTCATTATCAGATTCAGATAGCAGTGACAGTAGTACTAGTAGCAGTGATTCTTCCAGTTCTGACGATAAACGGAAGAAACGAAAGAAGAAGAAACGGAAAGCCGAGAAATGGAAAAAGAAAGCGAAACGAATAGCAAAAATGAAAAAGAAAAGAAGAAGAAAAATCAGTTCCGATTCTAGTAGTAGTGATTCGTCTGAAGATAAAAGAAAAAAAAAGATAACGAGTAAAAAGACTAAACAGAAGAAAGAATATAGTAATAAACAAAACAATGAAGATATAATAAAAGTAATACGAAAGTCATCTTTAGAATCCTCTTCTTTAGAAAATACAAAATTAGTACATTCGCAAGTTCCGTTAAAGAAAATCAAAGAAGAAGTAAAAGTTGAAAGCAGAAAAAGATCCACAGATAAATGCGATATATGGGATAAAGAACAGGAATTAGTTAAAAAGGTAATTTCTGATAGTAATGTGCATAATAAAACTCACAAAGATGAAGAAAAAAGAAATAAAACTGATGAACAATATTTAGAGGAATGGGAAATGGAATCTGTAATTATGTCACAAAAAGGAGAAACTCTATTAAAGAGTAAAGTTGAAAAAGTAGAAAATAATGAAATAGAAAATATTCGGAAAATGG